AAAGAGAAATGTATGTCTTCAGCATTCAGATCATGCCTGTGGCTTCTTTTCTGAAGTGGCTGATGCCACAATATCACTGGTTTGTAGAATTCACCATTATTCCTCTAGATGCTTGTCCATGAAAATCACCTAACTCAGGAGAACAGCTAGACAGCTGAAGATTCTGTAGACTCAGAAGCACTGAATGTGAGAAATGGTGTTCCACTGTTTCCTGGATATTGATTCTCATATGCCAAAAGCCTGACAAATTGCTCACAGCTCTTGTTCATATTCTGCTGTGTACTTCAGCAACTAGTATGTCCAATGCTGTAGGTCACCCAGCTCTGCCAGTTTGGCTGGTATTCTCCCAACGTGTGTTGATTGGACTGCCAATAGTGGCATTTTGGGATCCATTGTTTTTCCTCAAACCCCAAGCATCCTTTGTGCTCGAAGAGAATGTGTGAGTGATGCAGACAGCCTCAGGCACTGCCTTCATCATATTCTTTCCTTCTCTGGGGATCACAGGTGAGCAGGGACCCACCCAGCCACCATTCTTTATCATACTATTGATTACATTCATTTTTGCTCATGTGCAGAATTGGATTATGGACTATGTCTTCCACCTGAACCCTATGTCTTCCACCAGCTTCTATGCTTTTTCTTTAGAGGTCCAGTGATGCTGATTTCTGCTGTTGTCTCTACAATCAACCATCTCTACTATGAGAGAGACAAACACCTACCATGATTACTTCAGATGTCAAGAAGAAGGGCATTTGTGGCTCTGCCCACTACAACTGAGCCAACCACTTTTCCGTGGCTGTCTGGCCCAGGAGCGTGTTACCTCTCCTGCTTAAAATAGTGTGTGATGGCCATGATTTCAATGTGAATTAAAGGCCCATAAACTATATTATGCATTGACTCTGACAACTTCTGTCATGCTTAAGCACCAGCTGCTTAATGTTAACATGTTATAAATAACCAATGTGGTTGGTTATTTTAAAAGGAAGGTTGAGAGAGAGAGAAACTCCTGATACATCCTTGCCACCTAACATCTGTGCCCCTAGTATACATATTGGTGGGCAATAAACAGTCCACATCCCACAAAACAGACCCATGCAGCCCACTGTGAGGGTGGCTGCCCCTCTGATCTCCCCTTCAGACCTTGATTCGGTTGATTGATTGAGTGCTGGGAGCTGAATTACTGTGGGGAAGTTTCTTTCTAAAAATATTAAATGTAGGATCATTATATGTTCACTCCCACGGCAGCTTCACTCCAAACAATGGAGCTGGAGAAAAGGAAGTTCAGAGTTGTTCCACTTCCAGTCACAAGGTCAGCCTCTGTTGAGAAATCACCCAGTGATGCAATAGAGTAATTCCTATGGGAACAGCACCTTGTGCAATAGTTATTTAATGCATGGAGCTGTGCTGATAACCAGAGAAAGCTGATTGGAGAAGAGATGTCTATATGTATCAGAGAAGAGAGTAAACTAATCACCTAATCATGTGATGCATGAAGACAGCCAAACAGGATTATTTTGTAATTGAGTTACTTAATACTGTATATAGTGGCAAGTAACAGCCTGTTTTTATACAACAAGCTCTTACAATTCCAGCAAGAAATTAGACTCTGGGAATTTTCTTCAAAGCTTTCTATAGGGAATGAAACTGAAGAAAATATAACTCCTTTTAATTTCAGATACTTCAAAAAGCAGGAGTGCATCAATATCAATTCTTTGGTAGGAATCTTTTGCAGCTAAAAGAAAAAGAAAACTCTTTTGATACTTTATACAGGAACAAATTTATTACTGTATATGCTTTCATGGATCACAATGCACTAGTTGATACATGGAATGTTGTTATAAATAAATAAATAAATACATAAATATGAATACATATGCATCCAGCCTGAAGTATTAAGGGAATGTGTCTGTTGCATAGCTGGTACACTTGGCCTGGCTTTGTCTTCAGCATCTGGAGTGCTTGTGGCAATGCAGCAGCTCAACTCTCATTTCTCTTGAAATATTGTGCTTCTCTAGAACATTGCTACGTATTATTGCAAGAAAACTGAGACAAGTATCTGATGAAACTAAAATAAAACAGTAAAGAGGCCCTCAAGTTGAGTTCAACTTCTGGGGACTACAAAGACATATTCATGCAATTTTCTTGGCAACAGCATGGAAGTGATTTTTAATTGCTTTCTACTGAAATGTTTTTTCAACTCCCTGGTGTAGCCTACAGATATTTCCTCATGATGCCCTCCCCCTACTATTCAAGTACTTACCTAGCCCAACCATGCTTAGCTTCCAGAACAATTTTGATGCATAAAAAGCAATTTCACTACATTTGATATTTATTCTGTCTTTCTCCATCTATATTCTATTTTTCTATTAATATTTTAAATATATATATTTAAAAGGGGGTATTGACAATTTAACCATTTTAGCAAATGTCTGATTTGCACTTATGACATACTTCTTACCAGTAATTCTTATAACTATTCAAAATCATAACCTTATCTATGCTATGCTATAAGCCATCCTTCCTTTCCCTACCACATCCAACTCTGAAAAAGACTGTACTTCCAACTTCAAACAGGGCACACCCAAATGCCTATGACAAACCTATTATTGCCTAGTTTAACTATAATGCATAATTAATATGAAAAATTAAATTAGGAGTAAATTGCCTCCAAAAGATGGGAAAGGATGAAAGATAAGACTGCTGTAGGGGAAGAAGAATATTGCCTAATCTAGAAGATAAATAACAAAACATTCCTGAATTCTGAAGATGTGATTCTGTCCCATCAAAAGAAATGGAAGAAGGGAAATCTTGAAAAAGCATCAGTGCAACTGTAAAAAAAAAAATTACATTTCAAGAAGAATCCTTTCCTGATGTTGCCATAGTAGTATGCAACTTGAATCGGGTACAACGGCCTTTCAAAATTCTCCACCAACTTAGTGAGGAAAGAGACTGAGTGGGTGATTTTTCTGAATTTCTCCACAGAATGGAGTGAAGCAATTAAAAGTGCAAAACAGAAAATGAAAATTGGAAGTCCAAAATGAGAGGTGCTTCCTTGTGAAATATTTTAGAATTATTTTTGTTATTATGGCAAGGTAAAGAATAGAAATAAATTATAAATGTACAGCATTTTCAAGACTCAGAATGGTTGCTGTTTGGGCCCAAACTAATAGGGATATCCTGCAGTCACACGATCAGTCTAAGCTGTACACAGGCAGAACAGATTTGCTGTGAAAAACTGTATATAGAGAGTTGGGAAGAAAACCAAATTATATACCCATCTTGTACATTTTCAGAAATGTTCAGTTCCTCTCTGTCTCTAAATGGACTGGCAGACTTTTCTCTGGGTTACCCATTAAATATGGAGAGATTTTCTACAAGGATAGAAACCTGCCTGACAAGATTTCCTGAGCAGCTGCTTGTTTTAGCACTGACTCCTTTAAGCCCCTGGCCTGTTGTCCAGCCTAAAGTCCAGAGAGGCAAGAGAAGGAGAAAGACTCCTGCTTGTAATCTGTCATTCGGATATTCCTATCCGCTAGCTGCAGAATTAAGTTCACCCTTTCCCATTAAGGACATTTGTGCTGTAGGTTCGGAGGGCAGCATGAGATTCCTTTCCAAGATATTGATTTTCTTATCTCTGGTGGTAAGCATTCTGCCAGTGCTTCCCCGATTCCTTCAGGCTGCTGCAGAGGGAAAGAGAAAAGGGGTCACATTCATCTCAGAAAGCGCATTTTCACAGTAGTGATCTCTTCTGTGCTACTTCTGATATTCTCACGCCCCACTGATCCTCCCTTGATGATGTGCCTGCAAATGGACTTTCCTGTTTGCTAATACTTACTGCAATATATCCAGAAAGGCAGTGAGTAGTGGCTTGCACTGATACTTAATGTTATGCTTGGCACATAGGGATTTCACCAGGGGAGCCACCTTCCAATAATTATGTCGAGGCATGGTTGGAAAGAGGCTGTGGAAAGAGAGGGAAAATATCAAGAAGACACAGTAGAAGATACTTCTATAGCTTGGGTCCTGCTCTCATCACTGCCCTTCCCGTCTCAGTGCCAGAGAGATGTCCTCTCCCATTGAGTACTGCCTATAGGCAGATTCATACAGAAAGAGATAATCTTTCACCTGTCTAGTTCTCAAAGAGTTTTGGGCAGGGATGAACAAGCTGAGGTCTTTCTGATTGTTGCTGAACCAGGATCCATCCTAATGAGTCCCCTTGTCTTAGGGTACTCAGCAACATTGTAGAGGTGCTCACAGGTTTTGTACTCATAGTTAAGAATTTTAAAGGTAAAAACCAGCATTTGACTTGGTCCAGAAACAAATTATAGTCACCCAGAGTAACTCTTCAGTGAGATGGGCGGTGACAAATTTTATATAAATATATGGACAAGCAGGTACTGGCCAATCAATCATACACACACACACAC